GGCTGGAGGGTGGAATTGCTGCCTGGCTGAGCTTTGCTGTGTGTGCTGCTGTGCATGTGTGTTGTCTGGGCTCCAGCCCTCACTGACTGTGCCTTTCTCTCCCCAAGCTGATCAGTGGTGGCTCCATTGTCAGTGCTGAGGCAGTATGGGATCACGTCACCATGGCCAACCGGGAGTTGGCGTTTAAAGCAGGAGACGTCATCAAGGTCCTGGATGCTTCCAACAAGGACTGGTGGTGGGGTCAGATCGACGACGAGGAAGGATGGTTTCCCGCCAGCTTTGTGAGGGTGAGTGAATTCCTTCCTCCCTTCCTTCTCCTGCTCTGGGGAATCRCTGCTGGTGCTCGGGGTGGGGAGGAACTGAGCTCTTGTGATTTTGATGTGGTTGTTCTCACTAATGCTGATTCCCACTGTTTTCTGTCCAAAAATGGGAGGCAAAGGATGTTTCCAATGAAATGAGAGTGGGGCAGAGGGAGGCTGGAAAGAGGATTGGCTCACTGGGACATGGAGGGGCCTTTCCTGKGTGTCTGTTGGAGCCTCTCTCCTTAAGCWRTTCTRCTYCACCAARCCCCAGYCCTGGAAGTGTCCAAGTGTTGGACAGAGCTTGGAGCACCCTGGGRTGGTGRGGAATGTCCCTGCATGTGGCAGGGGTGGCACTGGATGGGCTTTAAACCCCCTCCTGACCCAAACCACTCTGGGATGCTGTGATTCCATGAAAACCAGCTCAGGATTGTGTGGGCTGTGAGGGGAGGTTTGGTGGGACCCAGAAGTTCCAGGAGAGCTGGATTTGGAAGAGCTTTCTGGTCTGCATATGGCATGGGGAGGGTTCAGCCCTCCCCTGGCCCAAAATCACTGCTTCATTTTGACTCCTCAGCAGTTTGGATGTAAAATGACTTCACTAATTAGTCTGTGACCAGCTCTGATTGTTTTCTGAATGAGACAAGGAACTGTTTTGTCTCTTTTTCTGCTGGAGCAGGTTTTGCTGTCCCAGCCACCTCCAGTGGTGAACAGATAAAGAGGATTTGAGCACTTAATGGTTGGGATTTTTTTGTCCAGTGTTAGAAGTGCRAAGGAATGAGGAGATACTCTTTCTGCTCTCAGCTCCTGCCACGCTGTTGGGGTGTTCTCAAACCTTGTTTGGGGAGTCAAGACATCAGCTTTGACCTTCTCACTTCCCTCTGCTCTCCCTTCTGCCAAGGCTTTGAGGGGCAGCACCAGAGATAGAATTACTTTAGAAACTTAGGGACTGTGGTCCCAAAAATGAAGATTTCTTTTGCCCTGTAAATTGTGTGAGAGCTGACTCTTCATGCAGAYCCCCAGGCAGTTTGACAAGTTCCACCCCATCCAGGGGGAGATTCTTGTCCCTGAAACACTCACTGAGACCATCCTGCATCCCAAAGAGATTCCATGTTTGCTTGGGGTCTCTGTCTGTTCTGCCTTCTTCTTTGAGCCCTCCCTCTTCTGGCAACGTCAGCATCCCTCAGTTCATGTGGTAAGGAGCCGTGTGGATTAGGAAAATGGGGTTCAAATGGATGATCTGGTGTTTCCTGGTGATGGACAGTCCCCACCAGTGAGGAACCCAGCCCCCTGCTTGCTGCTGCCTCCCCAGAACATGATTTTTAYCCCTCTGGTGCAGCTCTTGTGTCTCCCCCAGGGCTGGCCAGTGCCAAGAGTGAGAGATCCATGTGTGGAGCTGGAGCCYAGGCTGCCTGAAAAACTTAATTCTCCTGCTCTGGCCTGGGATAACAAATAGTGTTTGGTATTTCGTGAGTCTGACCCTGCAGCCTGTGGTGGCAGCAAGTCTGGAAAATGGATTTGTATCAGGTGTGATTGAGGTGAAAACCTCTCACCTGTGTCACCCAACTCCTCTGTGCTACAGCTGGGAGAACAATCTCATTTTGTTTGCTTGATTTAAACACTGAAATATTCTGGGCCAGTTTGACCTCTCAGGGCATTGCCCAGTGCTGGTTTGTGGTTTTAGGGAGAAGATTTAACCCCCCTATTGTGTGATGTCCTAAATAAACTGTCCATGGGAGGTTTAAGGACAGTCTGGCTTTGCACTGCCCCCTAAAAACACACCAAAAAAACAAATGAACAAGTGTCTTTGAGGCCCAAACCCACGAATTATTTGGCTTGGCTGAGCTCTCCATCTCTCCCAATTTCCAAAGGYAGGAGGATGGGTTTAGAAACTAGGAAGAACAAAGGTGATGAATCAGTGATTCTCATCTGTTGTACACAGATGTCTGGAACAAATCCTGGCACCTCATCCTTGGTGCTAAGGATCACAACAACCTTAGCAGGCAGGTTTTTTTCCCATTCTGCCCAGTATCCCAATGGGATCAATCATCAGACTGCCTTGGCTCTTCCRTCTGGGAATCACTTGTTGAGGGCAGGCAGGAACCTGCCATTGCCCCTCCTGAAGGGGAGCAGTGCCTGGCTGTGCTGCCATGAATGAGAATTACTATTTAAAACCATGAGTTCTAGCCTGGTTTGTCTGCAGGTGTCGAAGGGAGGCTGGAGGGGGAGATTTGCCCCTCAGGTTTCCAAAGCAGCTGAATAAGAACTGCAAGAACTGCGAGAAGAGCAGATGATCACTCCCATCATGAGGAGGCYGCGTTTGTCTCTGTTGTACTTTGAGCTCTGCTTTTTTAAGATGAAGCCAGAAAACTGCCTGATTTATCCTGGGTGGTTCTAGTTTTACTTGCAAAAGAATTGCTTTTCTTTATATCTRTGTTTCTCTTACGCAAGCACAGAAGGAAAAGGGAACAATATGTTGCACAGAACATGAATAGCAGTCAAGTGAGGGATGTCAGACAGACCAGACAGGTAGAAAGCCAAATAGGATTAATTTCAGGATTTTTAGACTTCAGGCCTCTTGTAAGTAYGAACAGGAGTGCAGCAGAAGATCACTGCGCTCTTAGGTTCCTTTCAAAGTCCTTTGAGTCACTTCTGAGGACAAAACTGGGCTGGGAACCCAATTTGCAATGAGATGTCTGACGCTTCTTGCTCTCCAGCCAGATCATCTGAAAACCTTTGGCAGAGCATTTGGCACTCACGAAATCTCATAGCAGGAAACTTCACATTTGCAAGTGGAGAGGAAAACAGGAACCTGCTGCTTCCCTTGGCCTCCTTTACATGACAGCCAGGGGTGACAAACAGAATCCGCTCCTGAATTCCCTGCACACGCAGGAATTGTCTCCCTGCCATACCTGCAGGAATCCTCTTAGGAGCCCAGGATTGGACAGAAGGAAGGGGGAGAGAGGAAAGCTGTGGAGCTTTGGGAGCACAGGAACTTTCACGGAGAAAGTGGATGATAAATCAGTGTTTTTTGGGGAAGAGAAAGCGCACCATAGGAGAAGGAAAATTTGGAGGCAGCGTGGAATGGTGAATGGTTTCTGCAGGGAGCTGCTGTGCTCAGGGAGGAGGTTATGAAAACCCATAAGTCAGAAAGGTGGATGAGAACTCCAGAACTAAATTAAGCCTCAGCAATGAGCTGGSTTTAGACAGATGAAGGTGTCTGTGTTGTATTTTGGTGCCTGTTCTGAGCAYGCTGGACACCCACGGGGTGCAGCCTTTGAGCATCCTGTCAACTTCCAGCGGGCTGACAGGTTGGGAGGAGCAACTGGAAAAAAMCAGCAGGAATTTTAAACAAGATTTCACATCCTTGTGGTGGTAATGCCACTTTTCTCTTCTCTGTGGATGGCAGAGCCTTGGGCTGTGTGTACATCATGGGGTACAAATGAGTTTTTGTATAACCAGCACATTGACACTGGCTCAGAARAGTGGGCTCAGTGTTGGGAGGGAGGGATTTGTAGCACAGAATAACAGCCTCGGGCTGCCCATGGATCCGTTGTTGTACCTCGAGGTGTCCTTTGGAAAGCACTGTGAGCCACAAAACAAAGGTTAGATTGCAGAGTCCCCCATCAAGTTCCCAAAACGGCCCAGGTGAGACACTCCAAACACAGGAAAACAAACGGCTTTGTGCTTGGGCTCTGCCATATGCTGTGGGGATGCCACTGAGAGAGAAATAAAACAGTGAAACTTATGGATGCTGGGCAGCGGGATCTTCCCTCAGAGACACGGCAGAGTGCYCCTGTCCTGGRCAGAGAGKGGGGATTTATTCCTGTGGAAAGCTYTCCTCAGTCTYTTTGGATAMCAAGAGGCAGACTGAGCTTKCAGAATGTCTTTCTTCTCAYCTTAGCAACGCTGACTCTCCCATCCTTCCCTTCCTAAGGCAAGGYAAAGAGCAAAACTGGGGCTGAGGAGCATTTTCTGCAGCTTGTTGTGGTGCCTGGTGACTGAGGAAGGGAAGGGTGGTGGTTTTCCCAAGGCCTGAGCAAGGGGAGGATATAAAATCCTTGTGGTCTCCTTTTCCAGGAGAAGGTGCAGGGGTGGAGAAGTGCAGGGGTGGCAGTGCTCCGTGTTCTCTCTCACCACTGCCTCGGTTCCCCCAAGTGTTGTAATTTTAGATTGATTTTCCTGCYGAAAAACTGCCTTTGACCCACTTTATTTTCTGCTGCTAAAGGAGAAGTGCTGGATAAATTGGAGTTAGCCTTTAAGGCTGTGGAGAAGGAGCCTCTAACCCCAGAGCCTCATCCCAGTGCCTGGAATCTCATGCCTTTATGGAGTGGGTGGGTTAAGCTTTGAGCTGGGCCTGCTCGGTGTTGCTGGTGTAATTCCACATCTTTCTGCCCCAGCTGCTACTTTTTGCTTGTAAAATGGGATTTTATCTCATTGTAACAGCTGAGCASTACCCTGCTCTCCTTGCAGCAGTTCCCTCAGAGGCAGCACGGTGAGATTTCTGAGGAAAGGATGGAGCAGGGGTGTCCTCACCTGTTGGCTGGGCAGCCTGGCTGTTCTGCAGTCAGTGCCTTTCAAAGGAGATTTTATTATCCCGTGGCAAATCCAGCTGCAAAATTGCCGTGCTGGAGGTAGGGCCTGGCACGGGCAGTGCTGCTGCTGCTGCCAGGGTGAGCTGTGGAGCTTTGGGCTTTTCCAAAGGTGAGGGACATTCTAGTGYCCAGGGCTGCCTGTGCCACCTGCAKSTGCCCGTGTCASCATGGCTCACATRCAGCAGCTCCCCCAAGGATCACACAGTGGCACAAGCTGTTTTGCAGGTGCCAAACTGGAGTTTTGAGGCTGTTCTTTGAGTCAGGCAGACCAAGGACAAATCTGCATAATCGCTTCCAAGCACAGCTTCCAGAGCCCCTTCCCTGTGCCCTGCCCCACGGGTGAAGGGAAGGAAAGCCCTTCTTCCTCAGCCTGGCAGGGCTCACAGCTCTGAGCTT